GGTTTCTTTTGCCAATGATTTTCATTTTCATTGCACTATGGTGAGATAATATGCACGGGATAATTTCAGTTCCTCTGCATTTACTTAAGCATGTTATGTGGGTTAATATGTGCTCTCTTTTGGAGAACTTGCCATGTGCACCTGAGTAAAATGTGTATTCTGATATTTTGGGGTAGAACACTCGGTAGGCAGATACTAAGTTCATTTATTCACAGGTTTGGTTTAGTTCTGGTATTTCTTTGTTGATATTTTTTTTGTCTAGTTGATTTATCTAATTGTGACAGTGGGGTGTTAAGTTCCCCCATTATAATTGTTAGTGCTTATTTGATTTTTCATATCTGTTAATATTTGCTTTATGTAGTTGTGTGCACTGGTATTTGGTGTATATGTATTTATGATTGTTTTCTGTTTTTCTTGGAGTTTTCCCCTAACAAGTATGTAGTGACATGCTTTGTCTCTTTTGTCACTCTGCTTGAAGTTCACATTGTCTGCTTTGGACTTTTCCATGCTGCTGGTCCTGCCTGCTGATGTGTACCACATTGGGTGTGCTCTTTCTGGTCTCACCTGCTGGCATCAATTGTGTTAGTATTTATGTGATATTTTAAAATGTTTTATGAAGTTGAGGATGCTAGTGTTTGGTGTACATATATTTATAGTTGTTATCTTTCCTGTCAAATTGTTCCCTTCACCAGTATGTAGTGACCTTGTTTGCCTCTTATGCTCAGTTTCAGGTTGATATGCACTTTTCACATTTTGTGGAATATTGTTTTCTATCCTTTAATTTTTAATCATGTATTTCTCCTAGGTTAAGTGTATTTCTTTTAATCTGCATATCATTGGGTTTTGTTTCTTGATCCATTCTGCCAGTCTGTTTCTTTTGATTGAGGAATTGAGACCATTCACATTGAGAGTTATTACTGCAAGTTATTGACATATTCCTATCATTGCATTATTTTCCTGTTGTTATCCTCACCTGCTTAGCGACTGCTCACCTTGCCTGGTGTATTTATTCTATTAGATTGTTTAGCATCATTGGCTTCATTGTCTCTTTGTAGGATATCCTTGAGTATTTTTATAGTGCTCATTTAATGATCATGAATTTTTTGAGGTACTCTGTCATGGAAGTAACTAATTTCTCCATCACCTTTGAAAGATAGTTTTGCAGGATAAAGAAGTCTGGATTTCAAGTTGTTACCTTTTTGGCTTGAAACATTTCACTCTAAACAATTCTGACCTTTGGTGTTGAGAAGTCTGATGATTATGATGTGTTTACCTTTATAAGTGATTCATTGCTTTTCTTTAACAGCTTTTAAGATTTTGTTCCTGTGTTAGATTTCTGGTGCTTTGACTGTGATGTGATATAGAGAGGTTCTCTTTTGAGCATGGCTATTAGGAGTTCAATATGCCTCACTATTTGTATGTTTGTTACCCTATATTTGGAATGTTTTCTGCTGTTATTTCTGTAAACAGATTTTTATGCTCTTTATGTTATCTTCTGATTTTTGACTGATTCCAGTTTATCTTAGTTTAGTCTTCCTGTGTCATCTAGCAACTATTGTACCCATTATCCTGTTCTCTTTTTGTTTTTAGGTATCTCTGAGTAATTGGTCTTTAAAAGCTTCCTTATCTTCTAATTCTGATATTCTGTCTTCACATTACTCACTTCTGCTGTCCATACTTTCAATATACTTTTTGTTTGGAACATTTCTATGACTTCTGTTAGGAACCTTTTCCTGGACTCTAGTTCTTTGATAAACTGGCCATTCATGTTCTATTTTATCTTATTTAGCTCAGCCCGGTTTTCATTAGTATCTTCCATAAGCTCCCTTATTGTTTTGTTTTTTACTGCCATTATCTGATTAGTTGTAGTTCCTGTGAACCTACTGAATATCTTATTGATCTGTATTTTACTCTTCTCTGTGGTCTTTTGGAATAATTTGGCTGACTATCTTTTACTTTCCTCCCCTTTGATGCCCCTGGATTAGCTCTGGGGAAGTTGGGAGTTTTGAGAGGCATTTTGTTGCCTTACCTTCTTGTTTCTATTTTTTTTTTTTTGGTTGTTTTGTTTTATCTTAGGCTTGTGGTCACTTATAGTGGAAACACTTTGTTCCTAGTGTGGAGATCTTTTCAGTTATTCTGCTTTTTCAGCAATGCACTTGGGGTATGGCTAACTATAGTTCTTTGCCTCTGTTCCAAGATCTAACCACCTCTGTTAATGGGGTGGAGGGGGCAATTCAGTGTAATTGGCCTAACATCCAGCTCTCTGTTAATGGACCACAGTATTGCTAATGTCACAAAGGTAATCTAGGTATTGCTATACAGGGAAAATCTATTCATAGCAATAACTAGGTGACCCTGGCAATATCAAGTAAATAAGTAACAGCAAGATCTTCCAAGACAAACTGCATATTGACATAAGAACAAATAATGCCCCACCCTTAACCTTAGAAAAGAAATCTATAATTGCAAACCCTAAGACAAACCAAACCCTAAGATAAACCAAATTGATATACAGGGAACATGTACTAAGTGTGATAACTGTACTTCTATTAATGATGGAAAACAATTCAACAGTAGTAGCATAGAATTAACTATCTAAAATTAATAAAGCTTAATGTTTATATTATTAAAGATATAAGGGGTTGGGAATGGGAGAATAAAAGAAGAAAAATTTTAAAAATTGAACAATGGGAGAGGACAAAGAGGAGAGAAAAGTGATAAAAAAGATCCCATTGTGGAGTAGAAGGATATTCACAGGACTAGATAAAAGAAACAGAAAAGATGAGAAATAGAATATAAAAAAAAGGAAGAAAGATATGGAGAATAAAACATAAAACATTAAAAGAAAGGGAAAAGAGAAAAAGGAGCAAAAAAAAGAACAAAGAAATTGAGTCTAAAAGCAGTGAAAAAATTTCTTCTCTATGTTTTTGAATGAGTAATTTCCTTCTAAGATCCACAGTTTTGGAGACAGTGGGTCTCAGTTTTTTCCACCTACCCTGACGGCCTGTGGGTTTGTGAGGTGCACCCCTCTTTCCAGAGGTACCCCTTTTTGACCCCAGATTGTGACAATGTCTGCACTGAGATCAAGCATCAGAACTCAGATCTGTGGAGGATGTAGGCAGCAGTGCAAAGGTTTGAGTACTTGATGCTGGTAGGCACTTTTAGACCCAGCTGTTTCTGAGCGCAACTCCAACCCAGCCTGGCTTCTCACTGTGGGGCACTGGGCCTGTGTCCTTTCCCACTTGAAGGTAAACTTCTTGTGTGTGTGAGGGTCTCTTTCTAGTCTGCTCCCTGTCTGTGGCTGTCTCCTGTGGCTGTTTCTTACCCAGTCACTGGGAAGGGTAACACTAGGAGCCCTGCAGTGAGGTTGTTTTCAGTTGTTCTGAGTCCAGATTTAAATAATCCCTTCCTCAGATAATACTTGATCAAGTATTGTCTGCCAATATGGTGAGTGCCCACACTGCAGTCCTTTTTGCACTGCTGCTCACCATGTGGAAGGAGTCCCCTCAGAGCAAAACCCTGTGCTCTTTTTACAGTTTGCCATGGCTGTGACCGCCACTGCCATTTCTCCCAGGATCTCCCCACCCTAGATGCTTACCTTGCTTCTGGGAAGCCAGGTTCCCCTCCCTGTGAGTCTCCGGAGCCAGGAAAAGGGTCTGAGTTATTTCCTTTTTTGTATTGTGGATCGCCTTTCCAATTTCTCCATAGTTTTTATTCTTTCCTTCATTTTCTGATGATCTGCTTTTTTTTTTCTTCATCAAGTTGTTATTTTCCAGTGTCTGGATTTCAGATCTCAGAGAGGTTGAATTTTGCTACCAATCAGCACTCCTCCATATTCTTTCTTGCTATAGTATTTACTAGGTACACATCTTACTGACTATACCTTTTTCATGCAAATGTTTACTGTAGACCTACTGTATGCAGAGAACTCCACAGATATAAATAAATCATGAACTCAGACCTGTACCTCACAGTCTATGAGAAAGACTGTCATTTCTCTGCCTGGGCAACCATCATCTCTGCCCAACTTGTTATACTAAAGAAAGTTCTTAGATCCTTGAGGCGACCCTTTAGTCTTTATTACACCTTTATTGCTTCTCCTATACTTGGATAGTAACTTCTATTAAAGTCAGGAAGTTCTTAAAAGAGACTATCATACTGTTAGTTTATTTGAAGCACTTATATATGTGTTGTAGTTCAATGTGAATAAACGTAAGGTCCTAAACTTACGCTTCAAATTTCAACAATGCACATGATGACCAAAAATGTGCTTTTTGGGTGGCAAATATACAAGTAGCTTCAGACTCTTGCCTGGGTGAAAACGCAATAAGAATTGGTGACCACAGTGTAGGTTATCTTAATAGTGGAGTGTTCAGCATAAGGAGTTAGGTCCTCCTTTTTCTTTTCTGCACTAGTCAGACCACAATGAGAATATGATAGTCAGTTCTAGATACAATCAAACGATTAAGATTTTTTTGGTTAAAGAACAATCATGAAACACACAAGATAAATATATTAGTAATAATTAATACAAAAATTAATATGTTAATGAAAGTATGAACTCATTTCATCAACATTTTCAAGCTTCTTTCATGGGGAAATAGATTGAGGAGGGAGAGAGTTACAGTTCAGCAAGGCCAATGTCATTGGTGAAACATTTGGCTAAACCGCCGAACTGCTATTTCATGGCCACATGCTTTCTCCTAACTTTGGTTGGCTGTCTCACAGTTGAGTGAGGTGAGGACAAGGTGGACCCCATGGCGACACTGTGAATGCATGAGGGAAAGCTGATTTTTATTCCACAGAAATTATTCAGCGAGCACTTTGAATTCATCCCTTTAACGTGATCTCATTAAATAAATATTTGTGGAGGAAAGGGCAGGAACAGAGATGAAAAGAAGGGTGAAAGGAAAAGAGAAAAGGGAGGGGAAAATGAGGAAAGTATTTCACAAATAATTTACAATAATAAAAATGACTTACCTGAGAATTTTTATTGCCAGAGAGTGTGAACATAGAAAAGAAATGCCAGGTGGGAATGAAGACCCCTTTCCCCAGTGGTTATACTTGGAAAGGAAGTTGGATAACAACATTTTGCAAACAAACCAGGTTCAATACAGCAAAAAGTATAAATGACTGTTTGCAAAGAAAACTTATTTACCTCCTGGGAGATTCAATACTGCGACAGTGGATTTACTACTTTAAAAAATTTATGAGAAGTATGTATTTTATTTTTATTTTGAAGTTGTAGTTGATTTTTAAAGTTCTAAAAAATAATGGTTAGAATATTTTACTTTTGTGATCTTTTGTTATTATTTTTAATTTGCCGAACTTGGCTTTGGGCTTGTAATAAAAAATTAAAATTTACTTTTTCAATCATTGATATTAACACTTTTTTTCTTCATGTATTCTGTAAAAAAATTATAATTTATTAAGATTTTAAGGTTTCTAGTAAAATTTTCTACTTTGCATAAACAGCAGTTCTCTAGTATGAAATGACACTTTTCAGATGTTGTATATGTTTGAAAGTTATATCATTTTCCTTTTGTTAAAAGATTTATTGATTTGTTTTCCCTCAGCCTTACAATTTTTTGATCATCATGGAACCGGAGTCTTTAAAACACATGTTCTCCTAGATGTCAACAGACACATTTTGATTCAGTGGAGAAAGCATAGTCATCCATTTGTTACTCAACAGATATTCTCATTGAAAGATGAAAACTATATCCCACGGGAAATTGACCAGGTGGCAGGAGACAAAGACACAGCAGTTGTAATCACCATTGGCCAGCACTTCAGACCTTTCCCCATCAGCGTTTTCATCCGCAGGGCTATCAACATCAAAAAGGCCATTGAACGTCTTCTCTTACGAAGCCCTGAGACCAAGGTGATACTTAAAACTGAGAACACCAGAGAGGTACATCAAAATGCAGAGATGTTTAGTGACTTTCACGGCTATGTTCAGAATCTTATCCTGAGGGATATTTTTGTGGATCTTAATGTGGGTATTATTGATGCCTGGGATATGACAATTGCATATTTCACTAATGATGTTCACCCACCGGATTATGTTATTGCAGATCAGATTGGCATATTCTTAAACTACATTTGCTAGAGAAAAACCACAGAAAAATTGTACTACCCATTCTCTTTTTTTTTTTTGGCATCGGGATTCAAACTCACAACCTCAGGCTTGCCAGGCAGGCACTGTGCAACTGAGCTTTATCTCTGGTCCCTTAACAATTTTTTTTGGTATCGGAAATCAAACTCCAGACCTTGCACTTGCCAGGCATGTGCTTGTGCCACTGAGCTATATCCCTGGCCCACCTCATTCGCAATCAATGATCTCACATCTAGTGTAGAGATATTTTAATGTAATCCAAGGTATGAGAAAATAAAATTGTTTAAAAAATTTAAATTGTAGTTAAGTATATATATATAACACAAAATTTACCATTTAAACTATCTTAAGTGTACAGCTCAGTGGCATTAAGTACATTCACAATGAGGTGCAACCATTATCCGATCCATCTCCAGAAATTTTTATCATCTCAAATAGAAACTTTTTATCTACTAAACAATAATTCCCTTATCTCCCTCATCCCCAGGCCCCGGAAATGCTATTATATTTTCTGTATATGGGTTTGACTACTCATATAAATGGAATCATATAAAGTGTCTGTCATCTTGTGTCTGGCTTATTTCACTTAGAATGTCCTTTAAGATTCATCTATGTTGTAGCATGTATCAGAATTTCCTTTATCTTTTTTTTAAGAATTAATGTTATTCCTTTGCCCATAACACATTTTGCTTACCCCTTCATCTGTTCAAGGACAACTGAGTTGTTTTCACCGTTTAGACATTGTGAATAATGCTGCTACAAAGAGGAAAATAAAGTTTGTTTTAATTTTTCTGTATGTGAGCAGAAATTGAATACAGGGCCTCATGCACAATGGGCAAATGCTCTACCACCTAGTCCTCAAATTTGGAAACCCCATCTCCAATGCTGATCTCGATGTCTGTCTAAATAGTACACTATCACGATCATCATCCATAATTTAATTTTAAGAAAGGTGAAATCCATGAATGTACAGCCTAAGTGATTCAGGTTGAGAGAAAATATGATTTATATATGACCATAATAGTAGTATTTTTGCTTAGAAAAATTATTTGAAACTTGGTAACCAGTTGTTCTCTAGACTCCATTAGGACTTTGGGTCACTGTCCAAAATCTTACAGAAACTAACTTAGTATTATTATGTGAGTAGATAGACTCTGAAACCTTGACATTTAGTGACCCTAAACATATAATGGTATGATATGGGATCCCTGCAGAGGGTCTCAAATGATTTCATGAATTTTGCCTCTTACTATAAAAGTAACCAGCCTTTCCATTAATATATTCTGACTATTAAGAGTTAAAATATTGTTTTCAAGAATGATTCATATTTGCTTTTCTTTCTTTCTTTCTTCCTTTTCTTTCTTTCTTCTTTCTTTCTTTCCTTCTTTTTTCTTTCTCTCTTTCTTTCTCTCTCTCTCTTTCTTTCTCTTTCCTTCTTTCTCTCTCTGTGTCTTTCTTTCTTTCTTTCTTCTTTCTTCTTTCCTCTTTCTTTCAGTAGGGTCTTGCTATGTAGTACACAGTTCAGGCCTCCTTTGAACTCACCATGTAGCCAAGACTGGCCTTGAGCTCAGTGATCCTCCTGCCTTAGCCTACTGAGCTCTGGGATTACAGGTGTGCACCTGGCTGGCCTGTTTCTAAGTGAGAGGAAATGAAATTGTGATACTGTAACATTAGTGGAAAGACAAGATCATACAACTTAGGACTGCACTCTTCTATAAGGTAACTTCACTTAGAAACAAGGTAGTTGACATCACAAATATGTCTCTCTTTTTTTGTTGTTTTCTTTTTCCAGTACTGGGAGTCAAACTCACGACCTTGTGCTTGCCAGGTGGATGCTGTGCTGCTGAGCTAAATCCCCAGCCCCTACATTACAAATTTATTCTGTGTATTGAGCTACCCCTTGGTTCTAATTCTTCCTACAGCAAACTTTAAAATAAACCTAATTATTTCCCTAACCGCTTCATCATTAATTGCTTAAGTGATTAATCATTTTACACAAAGCCTTCTTCAAATTTCTTTGACCGAATTTTAGCATAATACAGATCTAGTTTTTTTTTTTTTTTTTTTTACTGTTACTCTTCATATGGAGTGAAATTTGTCTGTGTCACTCTGTAATATGCCTTCCACCTCATTTCTTACCTCAAGAAATCAAATGTTCTAACTTAAATAGCCCAGAATAATGAGGGTTTATAACTTTTCTCTTTTGTAGAGCTGTACTGTACAATACAACAGGCATTAGCCACATGTAGTTGTTTAAATCTAAATTGAATTAAAAATCAGTTCTTTAGCTATATGGACAACACAATATTTGCTGGCATTCTTCTATAGATAAGATTTCTTATGTTTTGTTGTAGCACTTGAATGTGTTTCTAAAAAAAAATCCAGTGATCCAGGCATGGTGGTGCATGCTGTAATCCCAGGACTATGGGAAGCTGAGGTGGGAGATTAAACAAAATTAACAAACCATTAGGCAAATTTACTGAAAAAAGAGGAATGATTCATATTAATGCAATTGGAAATGAAAAAGGCAAAATCATAATAGACAGTCTTGAAATCAAGAAGATTATAAGAAATTTCTTAGAAAATTTATACTCCAATAAATTTGAGAATTTAGAAGAAATGAATAAATTCCTAGACACATATGAATTATCAAAATTGATCTAATAAGATATGAAAATCCTGAGCAGAACAATAACAGGCAATAAGATAGAGGCAGCAATAAAAACCTTACCAAATAAGAAAAGCTGAGGATGCAATGGAATTACTGCTAAATTTTACGCAAACTTCAGGAAGAACTAATTCCAATACTCATGAAACTCTTCCATGAAATCGAAAGAGAACATTGCCAAACTTGCAAAGAATGCAACAGATCATTAAAAAGATCATATATTATGGCCAGGGATACAAGAATGGTTCAACATACATAAATTAGTAGGTGTAATACACAGCATAAGGAGAAGTAATAATAAAAAAATCACATGATTATTTCAATAGATGCAGAAAAAGCTTTTGACAAAATCTAACATGCACTCATGATAAAACTCCTAAAGAAAATATGTATAGAATGACCTTACCTTAAATTGATGAAAGGCATTTATGACAAACCTTCGCCAACATCATGCTAAATGGGGAAAAACTGGAAGCACTCTGTCTAAAAGAAGGAACAAGGTAAGAATTCTGCTCTCACTCTCCTGTTCAATACAGCACTTAGAATTTAAGTGAGGAGAGTCAAACAAGAAAAGGAAATAAAAGGTATTTTCTGGATGTAGTGGCATATATCTGTAATCCCAACACTTGGGAGCCTGAGGCAGGAGGATCACCATGAGTTCAAGGTCAACTTGGGCTACATAGCAAGACTCTGTCTCAAAAAAAATAAAAAAGATATTTGACTAGGAAAGAAAGGAATTAAACTATCCTTCTTTGCAGATGACATGATCCTTTATCTAGAAGACTGAAAAATCTCTACCAGAACATTCTTAGATTAATAAATGACTTCAGGACAGTGGCAAGATACAAAATAAACACAAAAAATCAATAGCATTCCTATACACTAACAATAAACCTACTGAGATTAAAATTAGGAAAGAAATCCCATTCATGATAGCTTCAAATAATTTAAATATATAGGAATTAGCCTAACCAAGAAAGTGAAAGACTTCTATAACAGAAAACTATATTGTTCCAAAAAAAAAGAGATTAAAGAGGATGTTAGAAATGGAAAGACATCTCCTGTTCATGAACATACAGAACCAATACCGTCCAAGTTGCCATACTACCAAAAATAATATATAGATTTAATACAACTCCAATCAAAATACTATCAGCATTTTTCACAGAGCTAGAAAAACAATTCTGAAATTTATATGGAAACAAAAGAGACCCAGAATAGTCAGATCAATCCTGAGTAACAAGAACAAACCAGGAAGCAGCATAATTCCAAACTACAAGTTATTCTATAAAACTACAGTAATATAAACAGCACGGTATTGGCACAAAAAGACACATGTTGACCAATGAAATAGAGGGTGTAGAAACAACCCCCAAGCACAGTCAGTCAACTGATCTTTGACACAGAAGCCAACAACATGGTCAAGAAAAGATGGCCTTTGTAATAAATATTGCTGAGAAAGCTGATTACCCACAAGCAGAACAATGAATCAATCTAAAGTCATGTCTCTTACCATGTACTAAAATGAAGTCAAAATGGTTCAGAGGCCTAGATATTAAAATAGAAACACTAAATCTGTTGGATTGGTAGAACTATTGCAGACATATGCATAGGCAAGGACTTCCAGAACAGAACACAAGTTGTACAAGACATAGTACTAATAATCAACAAATGGAAATATGTAGATTTAAAGTTTTTGCACAGCAAAGAAAATAACTAAGGGAAAGAAGATACAACCTACAGAATGGGAAAAATTTTTGCCAACTACTCCTCAGACAGAGGACTAATATCTAGAATATATAAAGAACTCAAAAATTAGAACCCCCCCATAAAAGACCCAATCAAAAAATGGGCAACTAAAATGAATAGATACTTCTCAGAAGCACAATAAATGGCCAAGAAATGCATAAAAAGTGTTTAGCATCTCTGGTCATTAGAGAAATGCAAAATAGAATAACACTGAGATTCCATCTTACTCCAATAAGAATGGATATTGTCAAGGACCAAAAAAGCAACAACTGCTGGCAGGTGGTAGGGAAAAGGAACCCTCTACACTGGTGGGAATGTAAACTCGTACAACAACTATGGAAATAAATATGGAGAGTCTTCAAAAAAAAAATGGAAATATCATTTCATTCATCTATACTTCTTCTGGGTATATTTTATTTATTTTTTTGGGGGGTGGTTTCCGGTACTGGGAATTGAAGTCACCATCTCGCACTTGCCAGGCAGTTGCTGTGCCATTGAGCTAAATCTCCAGCCCCAATTTTAAAAGAATTAAAGAATCATATGACAATGATATAAACATACCCATTTTTATAGCAGCACAACTCATAATAACTAAATCATGGAAGTGGCCTTTATGCCCATTAACAGAAGGATGGAATATATATATAATATCCTTTATGACATATATATTAACATTATAGTAATTGTGCATATAAAAAAATTACAAATCAATATATATGCCTTAAAGGATTAATTTGAGTCATTAGTAGGAAAATGGATGTACCTTGAGACCATAATACTAAGTGAAATAAATCAGATACAGAATATAGATATTGCATGGTTTCCTAATATGAAAGCTCCCAAAATATACATATTTTAAAGAGTAAAATAAAAGAGAGATGGTAAGAAACAGGGAGATAGATTCTGCGGAAATGGAAAAAGTATCCTAAAGAGAGATAGAGTGGTGGGGAAGGGAGTGTAAAATGATCAAGATGTGATGTGTATATATGTGGATCTAAAAAAGATAAATATAATTACTATGTCTCCCAAACATATACTAATAAAACTGAAATAAATTAATTGACATATACTAATTGTGCATATAAAAAGATTGCAAATCAACCACCTAACTCTATACCTCAAG